GGAAGCAGGGCCCGCGCGAAGGATCAAATATTAGGGGGGTGTACGGCGGATTGGGGGGGTGTAAGGAAGAATTTTCAGAAAAATTTTGCAGAAAAATTATAAAATGTAGACAAAATCTGCATTTTTGAACGGAAAAAACTGAAATTTTTTGGTTTTTGGGGGGGGTGCACACTCCCCTAAAACCCCCGCTCGCGCGGGGCCTGAGTGGAAGTTACAAAAAAAAATAGTATGCCACTTAAGTTTCAGCCTCCAACGATTAGTCGCTAGCCATTTTTGCACGGAAAACAAGTGAAACGCTGAAGCGTTCAAGACATGACAAGTATTTGTCGTGTACTTCGAGCCTATAGAAAACATTTCACAGAATTTTCAACAGAGGGAACATAGATTATGGAACGCTGTCATAGTAAAGGCACGATACTCTTTTAGAATCCTAACAACAAGAAAATCCTGATTACTTCAAAGCGCGAGGTACAAAATATGTTACTCACTGAATTCCCACTATGATAAAATTAGCCTCAAGTTCCATGAGTTAATGCGAATAGGTGTGGGTAGAGTATCGTCTCCTGATCTACACCAACACCCCACCCACATTCCACACATACAGCCTTCTGAATAACATTGTCGTCATTTAATAGTCGTTCTTAAGAAATAATTAATAAAGAATAATATTTTATATTGACAATGAAACTTACTCTTGTTCAGCATTTAAACATGTTTGACATTGTCGATGGCCATACTTACTTAATTGCACAGGATCTTTTAATATCAATGAGCCCACAGGACAAATATATTTCGTATCTAAAATATATTTATTTCTTGCATCGATGCCCACCATAAATTTATGCTTTTTTCGTTGTTCAATGTGCAAATAGAAGAAAATTTTCAAAAATATCAAACCAGCTAAAGCAAATTAGTTTTTGTCCTGATAATCGAGCAAAGAAAGTTTATTTTTTGAAATAAACGGTGTAAAATATAATAGATCTAGAAATCAGAGCTAAAGTACGAGAATGATGAACAATAATCATATCGAGAATGCTTTCAACAATCAGCAGATTTCTTTGCTTATTTTGATATCGATCCATTTCCCTACATTGATTCAATATATCGAAAAAATAGTTACTCACACTATTTTTATATAAGAGAAATCTATGGTTCATAAATAACAAGAGGGGATGATTAATGTTCATCAGTTGGTTCTGTCGAAGAAATCAAATAAAGATTGAAGAGTAATGTTGAAATAAAAAAATTAGACTCTTCACAAAGGCGGTCTCTATAAAAAATAGTTGGGTGTGGGTGTGGACGATGAGAAGATTGACACCCACATCCACACCCTTAAACTCAATTCGTTTGACTAGGAATATTTTGTTGAAAAACATTTTTCTCATCACAGTGAAAGATCATTATCACTATATGGGCTTTTATTAGAGGGTGTGTGTGGGTGTGGGTAGAATATCGTCTCCTCATCTACACCATCACCTCCCCCCCCACCCCCACCCATACCCCACATCCACACCAACACCTTAATATATTATTACTCAAAAAATCATTTCAACAGAAGAGAAAAAACATAAACACGACGAAATACTCAAACCATAAAGAACAAAAAAAAAGACTTTTTAAGCTGAAGTTTTTCACTCAAAAATTAAATTAATTATGTGTTGGATATTTTCTCTTGACTGTTTACTATGCATTATTAGTTCGTTCATTTATTGTTTCTTGCTAGAAAGTAAAGACTATTTGGACCAGCTGCGAAGATCGAGAATGTTTCAGTAGTATCTGGATTGTACGTTGTAACGACCAGTGTATATGTAAAACTGGTATTTAGATAAACTATCAGTTTAAACTGATTGCTACCATCATAATCATCATTGGATGTTAGTAGGTTGACATTGGAGTCCGATGGATAAAATGTACTATTGTAGGGATAACCAATGGTATCCATAGTACTTGAACTTGTTAATGTATAAGTGTCTGTGATATTAACAATGATCTCAATCGCTTGATAGTATTTGCTTGATCCTGGATATCGTTCACTATTGAGTGATGTTGTTGTACCTGTTAAATTGGGTGCTAGTAATGTGAAAAAAAGTCCATAATGATCTTATTTGCTTATAAACTATAATTTGTTTTTAAAATAGTCATTTATTGTCAGTTTATGAATTCGAAAGCGCTTTTTTAATTATATTTATCGGATATTTTTCTATTATCAAATAGTGTTTATTATTTCATTTTTGCCTTTGATGGGACACATCAAGAGGATGTGGATGTAGAAGAAATGAATGTTTACACCCACATCCTTCTGTATCTGTTCTAAAACAGAAATTTGTATTCCATTTTGTAGTACACACAATGCAAAAATCGAGTAAATTTTTTCTCGCCCCTTTTATATACTAGTCGATAGAGCATGAAAATTTGGTTAAAGATGAATTGTTTGGAAATCGATTGGTTCATGTTGTACAGAAAAAAAAACAAAAGATTAAGTAAGTATGAACAACGATTCAAAACAACTGAAGAATGAGTTTTTTGTCAGAAACCTTCTAGCTTTTTATTATTATCATTTCAGTATTTTTAGAAGAATTATTTTCTAATGACGTATTAAAATTTCATTTAAAAATGTTATCTAAATAATTTTGAAATAGAGCCGTTGTCTGAAACAGATTCATCGAATGAGACCTCAAACACGCTTGTGTGGTATTCATACTTGGGTTTGCAAACGTTTCTAGTTTTTTATATTCAAGGATAGGACAAAGTGTTATATTTTATTAGAAGAATCAGCAGATATTGAGTTTCAAACGTACGTATTTAGTTTTCGTAGATTTTATTTTCTATTGACGAATTCATTTTTTTTTCGACCTGTTCTTGCTGATACGCTAAAATCATGGAAAACTGTGCACATATTTATTTACTTTTTCCTTTAGTTTTTCGAGATACAAATAAAACAGATAAAATATTTGAAATCACCGTAAAAAACTTATAGTGAATCATGTGTCTTTTATGCCAAAATGTTTCTCATACTTAATCATCTGTATATTTCGTATTTTCTAATTTAAGTATTTTGAAAATGTTTATGATACCTATATTAAATATGTAATTTATTTGGTTGTTATTTTATTGTCGTAGGGACGAATGTTATCTATGAAACTTAAGTGTGACACTGCACTATACAATGCTCCATTCAAATAAAAGCATTTAGAATAATAAAATAAGATTATTGTCAAAGTATATTAAACTCAAAATCAATCACAATTAGACCTGTGACAGTTCTCGATCAATGAACAGTGAGGTTTCACGACGGACAACCCAAATTAATTTTCTGGTGAAAGATAAGCAAAGATCGATTAGACTGAAGTCCCATACTCAGGATGTGTACGCCCATGGAACTTCATATTGTGATTGCATATGTTGTATTCTGCATTGGAACATATCCTACATTCAAGATATTCTCATTCAATGTGCTGACTCAATGAAAATGGATGTTACATGATTGAATAGATATAGAACATATATTTCTTCTTTTTTCGAACTCTTATGTTGTTTTTTTTGTCTCACTATTATTTATAAATAGTCTATTAAGATAAAATTAGAAATTATTTTACTAACCGATCATAGTTGCTTCGGTGATATTTGTTGAAACAAAATCAACATAAGCCGATCCAGCAGCAGTTATTGAGAATGGTCCAGTAATATCTTGATTGTGTGTTGTAACGACTAGTATATATGGAAAGCCGGCTTGCAGATAAGCTTTCAATTTAAATTGTCTGTCACCAGCAGAATCATCATTGAATAGTAGGTGACCGCACTGAATGTCGCAAGACAAAATGTCGCGGACAAAATGTCGCGGACAAAATGTCGCATGGACAAAATGTCGCAGGACAAAACGTTGCAAGACAAAATGTCGCGGACATATCGTTGCGGACAAAATGTCGCGGACAAATG